TAACTACCCTCCTCTCTCTCTCTCTCACACACACACACACACACACACACACACACACACACACACACACAAATTGTGTCTCACTTACTGTGTATGTTTCCTTTGACCCAGCTCTTGCAACTTTTCTCTGCCACTTCACACAGGTTTCATTAAATATGGACACATTGCTGAGCAATTCCTCTTCTGAAAAATAAACACCAAAGGGAAATTTTTGCTGTTATCTTTACAATAAGCTATAAGTACCATTCACCTCACCCTCTCTAATGTGCTCTGTGATGTGCCTCTTACAAGGGATAAAATAGAGCATGCAAAAATATAAGGGATGTTTTAATTCCACTCTGTAGACTCCTGAAGTTATGAATATGAGATCAAAGTGAAGGAGCAAGTACAGCTCTAGAGATTATTTTGCCGAGTACCAAGCTGACACAGAATGCCATGAATAATGAAAACAAAAACAAACAATTAGGTTTTGGTTTTTAGTGTATGATAGTTTCACTTCCACTGGCTGGAAAGTCCTGAAAGAGGACATTAAAGTCTAATTATTTCACAAGAAGACGACGACACTACAGTACTTCTATCTAGGCAATTATCATTTCGATGAGCATGGTGTATCTTGTTTTAGGATTCTCCATACAGATTTGATCCTTCTTCTATTGGAGGCCAATCCAGTCTGAATTGGCTTTGGGAAGCAGTCTAGCTCTGCCTTGAGCATTCCTGCTAGTGCAGTATGTATGCAATTTGCATACTGTGCTCTGCATTCAGGGTAATGCACTTCACTAACATGTGGGTGTACATGTAACAACACAGTCCTCTAGAAGCTGGAAAGCAAGAACAAACGTGTCTGATCTATAACTACTGACACCCACCAGAGAGATGCTCCCTGATCTCAAGCTGCAGAGTGACTATTCTTGATCTCACAAGACTGATTGGTTTATAGAGCTCTAAATTGGTGTAGGAAGCAGCTCTACAATATGAGGACTGCATCGGTTAACACAAATTATATGGCAATAAAAAAGGAAGACTGGATTAGGAAATGGTGCATTCCCAGGAACATTTGCAAAAAGGAAAAAGTGGCTTATGAAACCTTAAAGAAAACAACCTTTTTGAAATCACTTTAGGAAGGTGTATAGGGTGATGTCTAGACTTGAAACAGTGCTTGCGGTCGGGTTAATTCATTCATTCTTGCTGGTTTTTTAAAGCATCCATTTCATCCTTCTTCCCACAAGGCTATAGACGTAGTGATGCATTGTTATTAACAGTCACGCTTCTACAGCACTGTAAATTCACAGGATATTTTGCATATCATGTAAAAAGATGTTTTATACCCCAAAGAAAACACAAATCAAAAAGAACAAATCTTCCAGTACTTTGTCAAGCAAATCTCTCATGGCAGTCAATGGGCATTTTGCCTGAATACAGACCATACCGTATTTATCCCTAATTTAGACAAGACAATCAGATATCCTCTTAATGCCCCTGCACATCTCCAGTAACTCTGATGGTTTTGAGAAGGAGCAATAAGAGAGGAACTTACCCCCTTAATGTGACAATTTAAGACTGATTGCCTCATAGATTTGCCCCTCTACTTATCTTCTTCGAACCTCAAATGTCTCTCATTGGAATAGTCAGAATTCAAACCAAGTAAGCCTGTTATTATGCACAGTCACCGCACTAGAAACTTAACCTACTACTCTTATTATTATAATTTATATGTATGATTATGGCACCGAGGAGCCCCAGGATGAGGACTCCATTGTGAGAGGTGCTGTCCAAACACAGAACAAAAGACAGTCTCTGCCCCCAAAGAGTTTACAACTGAAGTATAAGACAATAAACACCAGACGGACACCGACAGACGGAAGAGTACAAGGAAACATGAGATAATGTCCAGGAGAACGGCACTTACCCTTTGCTGGGAGCATTATGGGGATTTGTAAAAGAACCTTGGTAGATGCCTCAGTGATAGTCACAGTGTAGTTTACATCCAGGTGTAGAGGCAAACACACCTCTGGGTTCTCTTCTTCAGTGGTGAAGTTAATCATCATTTCATGGGAGGATTTCACCAAGTATCCCTGTTGTGCCTGTATGTGAATCTATCACAGAAATAAACCAAACAAACTTTTAATAAGTTCTTCAGAAAAACTCAGGAGCCTCACACAGCTGTTTAAAAATCAGGTCAAATGACTAACTTTTTTCACAGCAATTTTTTTTTTTTTAGGATTATTAAAACTTCCACTAAAATCTTTAATCCCAAACCTTACTTTTCTCTTCAGCTATTAATAAAAAGTACAGTACATGTCTCACTCACTAGGTAGGTTTCCTTCACCCCAATTCTTCCAGAATGTCTCTTCCATTTCAAACAGGTATCATTAAATACTGAAACATTGCTGAATCCTTCCTCTTCTACAGAACAGAAGAAAAGAAAAAAAGTCATAGCCTCTCAAAAAACATTGTCCTGACACCGAGGTACATTTCCTCCTTATTGCATTTAAAAGCTAACCCGATGTTCTTGTCATTTACAATTGATTATTTGCAGTAACTAATACTGCAGTAACTAATACTGCAGTACTAACACACAATACGAGAGCGCTCCGGCACTGAAGAGATGACAATCCAAACAGACAAGACAGATGAAGAGCTGGAGGTGAAAGCGAGGCACTAAGAAGCAAAGTAACATGGTCACACAGCAGGTCAACAGCAGGGCTGGGAACAGAACCTAATCTGCAGGGTCCCAGACCTGTGCTCTCTCCAGTGGGCTACGTTGCCTTGGTAGTCTCTAAATGTTCCCCTCAGACCTGTATGGTGGATTTCAACTCTGATATTTTGCTCTGGTTTTATGCACTTATGTCTCACTATTAACAAAAGGAGAGCCAAGCACACAGAGAGAGAACAATGTTGGACCCAAACTACGCCCTGCTATTCGAAGTTATTTTTTTCCCTTAAATGAATTGCATTTATCATATTTTTTTAAAAGATTTTAAGAAAACAATGTTTATACCAGAAAATATTTTCCAGTAGTATCATCCTCTGCATACGTATTTACATTCAATGTACTGTTGCCAATACAAAAACATGGCAAGTTTCATAAAACACACTACAGGCAATGTATTTCTGTACACCTCGGATGGTGCCCAACAGTGGGCAACTGAAGTCCTGACCATGTATCTCCTGGTCCCTCCCACACAGCTTCCCTCCAGCAACTAATTGGCCTGACCATATCTCATGGTCTTTCCTTACAAGGCCTATTTGGCCTGACCATACTTTATGGTCCTTCATGCAGCTTCTCTCCAGCAACCACGTCATCTAGAGCTTTAAATCCAGTAAATACATTACTTCTCACAATGGCAATCCCTCACCCACTTGACCAGAGCCAGGATGAATCAGCCACATGAGCATATTTATTTGAGCTGCCTTCCCTTAAGGCTAACAGCTAGGTAAATCAAACAGCATGACACTTACCGACTGTACTGATTGTTACAGTGACTGGTCTTGAGGGCTCAGGAGACAATACAGTGATGTTCACGGTGTAGTTAGTGCCTGCCTTTAGGTCTAGGCACAGCTCTGGAGTTTCTTCCTCTGCCATGAAGTTAAACGTTGCTTCATGAAAAAATGCCTTCTGATGCCATCTTCGCCCTTGTACATGAAACTTTTGAAGGAAAAGAAAGTCAAAAATTGAGTTCTATAGCACTCGCTGTGTATTTTATGAATGCGAGTATTGCAGTCAGCATGTGTGTTTTCAGTAACTCCATGCAACCACCAGCATATTCTCTCATTTTATCATCTATCACCTTACCCTATGCAATGCAAATCTCTACTCTATCAACAAGTCCCCTACTGTACTCATGGATTCAATTCTGTATTTGCAACTATATTCGTCTTGGCACATTGATTGCTTTTTTACTATATTCATCAATTTGCTCCTTATTTTCTGTTGCATTGACCATTGTGCTGCCCTGTTAACAGATTCTCTGCTATTTTAATTAAGTCATTGCTATATTCTCTATCATTTTCATACTGAAATGAAACTGCTGGCCTATTATCAGATATTGTGTTGACACACAGGGCAATATTCAGCCAGCAGGACTCTGGAGAAAGGGAGCCAGAGTCTATTTGGGAGCAGGAACTAGAGGCAATAGCCTGGAGCGGACTGTGGAGAGAAGGCCAAGCAGTTTAGGGACTGACAGCCGGCCTCAGCAGCAGCAGGTCACTGGTAAGGGGCCACCAGTGGTAGCAGTGGATGGTGGATAACCAGGAGTGGCCTGTGGGGATGGACCTGAGCAAGATTATAGGAGCTGGATAAAAGGACTGAACTCTGGCTGGGGGGATCTGCAGGCCAGTGCACGATTATCTCTGGCAAAGAGGCGACCTGGGGTGAATTTTCCTGGACTAGGCTTTAGGAGCACCAACTTGACGCTCGTATATTGCACTGCCCTTAGGGGCTTGACTGAGACCTGTTGTATCTTACATTTGTCATCTTTTATTTGTATCTTAAAGCCAAGAGTAACTGCACTGTTTATTTATGGGGCGGGGGGGAGGGAGAGAAGCACATATAAGGCAAAAAATAAAGTGATCCTTTGTGATACACCACAGTCTCCAAGTGTTTACTGAAACCCACCAAAGGCTAATACCTGAAGCGCTTGGCGCACCTACGGCTCTTGCACTGAGTGTGTGGTATACCCAGAACACTACCAAACACCTCAGGGACTGGTGCGTCACAGCATTCAGAATGACTCCCTTCGTTGGTGTCCATTACAGTAAGTTTGTTGCCATATTAATTGATTTGCTGCTGCTTCTCAAGAGTCCTCCTGCTGCAAACATTTCAGTAACTTCACCAAATAATTACTGCCATAACTCCCATCAAATAATTACGGACTTCGAAGGCCACACTTTCAAGGGGCCCTCCACCTGGGCTCTAACACTGGAGCCACTCATTCTCTGCCTGTGGAGTTTCCACCCATCTGATCTCCTTTCATCACTGCATTCAAATGAGCACAAAAAGGACATTTTTTGGAAGGAGGAAAGGAGGCAGACTGGGGACTAAGTGGGAGGAAGTCAGCAGAAAGCAGTGTGGAAAATACCATTTTCAGCCAAAGTGCCAATGTACCAAGGGACAGTCCTGCAATGGAGAAACCACGAACATCCTGTCTTGCTTACCAAATACACCATCTTCAAGTTGGTTTCTCTAGTGCTCCTTCTCCACTTCACACAGGTTTGATTAAATATAGACACATTTTCAATAGCTGCCTTCACTGTAGGGGGAGGAGGGAAAATGAAAGTCACGCTAGATAAACTGAAAAGATATAGAAATAACAAATAACCAGAGTTAACATACACTACATTTGGAACCTCAGCACATTAATTGCCAGTGGTGTGTACTGAGGATGTGGGAAACTAGCTCAGAAATATAAGTATTTGGGTAAAGAAAATCTCATCAAGAGTTGTAAGCACAGGGAAAAAAAGCAGGCTAGAAAAAGAAAAAGTTAAGTGAAATCAATCTCTGATAATCTACATAGAAAACCAAGGGATAAAAAGAACGATTAATGCAATTCACATTAATCAAGACATGTATTTAGGGCTAATCTGTTCTTCCCCCATCCCTAGAGATGCATAGCCCTGAAACTGAGAGGTTGAGGGAGAAAAAGGTCCCATCCTAAACTCAGATTAGATCTTTGCATGGGGATGCTGTGAAGGCCAAAAGGAGAACTGGATTAAAAAAGAAAAAAAAAATCATGGAGGATAGGTCCATCAATGGCTATTAGTCAAGATGGTCAGGGAAATAACCCCATGCACTGAATGTCCCTAAGCCTCTGACTTCCAGATGCTGGAACTGGATTACAGGGAATGGATCACTCAAATTGCCCTGTTCTGTTCATTCCCTCTGAAACATCTGGAATCAGCCACTGTCAGAAGACAGGATACTGAGCTAGACAGACCACTGGTCTGACCTAGTATGGTCATTCTTAAGTTATGCTATAACTGAACCACACTTTGCTTAGGGCATCCAGCACTAAGTTCCACAGGTTAGTTATCCACCATGTATCAAAGTGTTTCCTTTTAATTGTTTGCTGCCATTTCACAAAAATTAATTATTCTATTTAAAAACTGAAATTCCCTACATTTTAAAGATGCCGGGATGACAGCCCAGGAGCCAGTAGTCCTCTCTTTAAGCCACAGACTGGCCTGAGCATAGGAAAGCATGAGCAGCAGTAATGCAAGTTTCCCCACCAGTATACTCTTCCCCCCCAATAACTCTATGACTGAGATGGAACAGCAACTTAGTCTCCAGGCCTATTCAAGCTTTGGCCTCTCTGCTAAATTGCAGACAAACTTGCCATTCCATGCATTGCAAGGAGGATACCTATCCAAGCAGCAAATCTTGGTCACTACCACCCTCGACCAGGCTCAAACCAGTGACCTAGAGCTGAAAGATTCTGCATCCCATTACTACAGATGGTCCAGAATTGGACCCACTTATCTGAACATTCATTGCCCAACTCCTATCCCCAGATTTAGAGGTTCAGATAGACGGGTACTGAGATCCTAAGTCCATACCTGGTTTTTGGTTTGACCAAGCAGTTCCCTGAGCCGTGCAGTCCCCCCAATACATTATTTTATAATTTTGTACGTCCCCTTGTTTCTTTCTTGTGCAAGAGCATAAACACAAGTGTCTGAATAGCCTTCATTATACCAATTTGTTATTTTTATATTCCTCTATGAAAGCTCCTCATCCATTCTCCTTTTCAGATTACATAATCCCTTCTTTTAAAATCTCTCCTTGTATAGACGTTACCGCTTTTGTCTGCTCTGAAAACACCCAACCCACTAGTCATGGTCATTTCTCTTTGTTGAGTGTTTTCTATTTGTGATGTCTTTTTTAGATAAGGTGACTGAAATTCTCTGAAAAACTAACCAAACATTAGGCCTTTTTATGCAGCTGTATTCAAGTATAATTTTATCCAAAAGATCATAACAATCCACAGAAAATCCAAGCCCTATTCTTATTCAGCAACAAATAACCAAATTGTATACGCTTTCAAAAGATAGTATTTTTCATCTCTTTCTCTTGAATACTGCAGGTGTTCTCTTAATGGCCATCTTGTTTCTGTGCAACTGTACAGAACTGATGTTTAATCAGTGTAAGAAATATGCTATCCAGTACCATGCAATACCAAGACATCTACTCTCTTGTCTAATGTATACTATGTATGTACTGTGATTAATAAACATAGCAGGCTGTATTATGTAAGTAAGGACTGAACATGTTTAATATCCACTTCAATTCAGACTCCCATATGAAATAGAAGTTGAAAGGAATTATTTCCTTTAGTTCAAGAAAAGGAACTTGAACTTGTCCTTAATGTAGAAAGCCACTGGATGACACTGTTGTTCCATAAAATTAAAGTTCAAAAGCAAAGCTGGTACTGTAAACCTCTTAATAACCATTGCATCCAGCCCAACATCCACCTCAAGTGGAAGATTTCGGAAAACAGGAGGGAAAGGGATGGGGACCGGGGCCAGGACATGGAGGGAAGTACTGGTGGAGTCAGAGGTCATGAGAGAATATAGCAAGAGGGCAAAGAGGGGAAGTATCACAAAGGTTGGTAAAAGCCAGGGAAGGGAGCTGGTGGGAAGAGATGAGAGGGAGAAAGACAAAAAGAAAGAGAAAAATGACCTGAAGATGAAAATGGGAGTGGGAAGAAAAGAAATGGGGTGAGAACAAGAGAAACAAAGAAGGAAATGACTCTAAGGCTAGGATCTTATCTATTCATTTTCCAGCACTTTTTAAATTCTCTGGCAGAAAGAGGAACTTTCATGCCAAATATGATCAACCCAGGCATAGGTGCTGGAACTAGGGGTGCTGCTGCACCCATGGGCGATGGATGGAGCCTCCAGCTCCGCCCCTTCCGCCCACGTCCTCCTCACAGCCAGAGCCCCAAGCCTCCTGCCCCCCAGAGGAACCCCAGGCCGGACTGGCCGAAGCCCCGCCCCTCCCCTGCCCGGAGGAACCCAGGGCTGGCTGCAGCTGTGCCTGCCTCCCCTCCCCAGACCCACCCACTGCCCAGGGGAAAACCAAGCAGGTTCTGGGCGGCTGAGGAGGCGGCATGTGCTACTCAGCCGCCCGGGACCTTGCATGGGGCATAATAAAGCAAAAAATTCACTGCCAAACCCCGCAACCGGGGGTCCGGTGGCTGCGGCAACACCAGGGGAGCCAGAGCCTCCTCTGGCCTATTATACCCGCCACCCATGGCCGCACCCCCTGGCTTGAAGTGGTTTCCATCATATAGAGGGTTTACAGTTTGGTTCAATGGCTCTCAGCACCCCCCACTACACGAACTGTTCCAGCCCCCATGAAACCATTGGAAAGGCTGAGTCTTCAGACAGATAACGGTCCACCGTGGGCACATCAGCATTCTCTCCACTCGCCCGCTTTCAATTCAAACACTGCCTCCACCTACAGGGCAAGTACAGTGCCAGTGCACGCACCTCGGCTGCCATGCTCTAAGGCAGGGGTTCTCAATCTATGGGTTGGGACCCCAAAGTGGGTTGGGACCCCATTTTAATGGGGTCACCCAGGCTGGTGTCAGCCCTGCGCCCCAGCAAGTCTGAAGCCCAAGCCCCGCCGCCCAGGGCTTTGGCTCCCCGCCTGGGGTGGCAGGGCTCGGGTGGGCTTAGTCTTCGGTTCCCCCCTCCTGGAGTCGTGTAGTAATTTTTGTTGTCAGAAGGGGGTCACACTGCAATGAAGTTTGAGAACCGCTGCTCTAAGGGAACCACTTTTATAGCTCAAGGTAGTTCAGTTTCCCTGATCAATGCAATCCTCGATTTCTCTGTCTGCTAAGACCATCAATGACACTGCCAACTAGCGCCATTCGAAGTGACCAATCGTTTTGTGATGCAGACAACTGTCTACCAGGAACATGCCTAAGCCGACCAGCTCCTTTCATGTGTGTCACCAATCAGCCTTCAGGTGGTAGCAACTTAGGGCCATGACTGACCTGAGCCAGACCAGAATCTGTGGCTTATCAGTAAAAGATTATGTAGCCCATTCCAGTCAGAAACACCTGCATAAAACAAACTCCACTTCCATTACATTCCCTTCTAAAAGTAGCTAAAAGAACACCCATACACTAAATTCATAAAATGCATAAAAACAGCTTTCCCTCAGCCACTTCCACAGATTCACAGGATTTAGAACAGAGAGGAAAAACAAATACTTTCTTCCCCTTTTCTTCTGTTTTGCTTTTTTCATTGTAGCAACATCTGCAAATGATAGGCAACAGATGCTATCTGCTAATACCTTGTAGTACACACATGTTCAAGGAAGATAATGAGAATTACAAAAAACAGTGTTTCAATGATAGCGTCTATCCAAGCTTTTCTAGTGCACCTATTACCATAGAACCTAGATACTTTCTTCTCCATAGTTCTCTCCTCTTTTTTGGGGGGGAGGGGAGGGTGTTTATGGACAGGATTTATTTGACAAGGATACATCGTATCTATTCTCCATAACTTTTTATAGTATATTATGAGAAGTGTTTATGAGCATTTCATGTTTAATTAATTATTGCTTATAAAGTTTCAACAGAACCCTAACTATGAAGCTAAAAGGGGACTTCCACAATTCAGCTGAACTTCCTCCTCCACAAACTAAATGTGCAGACAGCTCACAGAAAAATTGCGAAGTTATAGGTAGAGACAATCATGCAGGAAGGAACCGAGGGAGAGCTAATGATTTACTACTTCCTTTGGTCTAAAAATGTTACCAGGATACAATAGGGGCAAAGTAATTCATATGCTGGAGCAAAGTGACCAAAAACAGGAGTAGGAGATGCAGTTATGATCATGTTCACAATGGAAAGATATATTAATCATACAAAAAGCAATGGCGTCAGAATGGACTGGATTAGGTGGGCTGGAACTGCATGGCCTACCATGCATGGCCTCCCCCCATCTGAAAGAGATTTCTGACATTATGAATTGATATCTGCAATCAGAAATTCTGTAATTATTAACTTGGTTTCAAATATAAAAAGCTAAAGTAGACTGTTTTGTTTGTTGTTGTAGTTGGATCCTATCTCGTTGATCTAAGAAACAATGGCTCCCATAAACGCAGATTCCACCTGTGATTTTCCAGGCCACTAAAGAAGTTACCAAATTATCAGCTGTCTGGATTTAATGTTTCACATTAGCCCTTTATGAGAACTTGGACCAATCAGATCCTTTTAATCTCTCACTATTATTATTCTAATTGTTTGATGGGGGTCTGACTCCCCAGAAAGCTGGGGCTGTGGAATCGGTGTCCTCAGATTCGAGCAACACTCTTTGTAATTAGATTCCGTACTCATGAGGATGAATTATTTATACACAGCTGGGACTAAAAATTAGGTGTGCAGCAAGACGCTCACAGAAGAATCTGAATAGGAATATGTAAAACTAACCCCTTCGTTGTGGGTTAGAAACCACTGACAACAGCCTTGCAAAATTGTCATGAAAATAGACCACGTTTACACACCAGCCCTTTGCTATAATGACAGATGCAAACATACAAGTGGTGATATTTTACTCAGTCTTTAAAACGTAACTCACCCTGTGACCTGGAATAGACATCGCATTGCCTATGTAAGAGCTAACTATTATCATTATTATTAACATTCTGATAAGATTTTATTTTTAGTGGAAACGTCACTTATATTTTTTCTCTGGATAAAGACAAGTAAATTGATTAGATGGGAGGAATCCATAATTTTTGGATTTATCCAAATATCAAATAGTAATTATCAGTACCAGCCTAAGTCCCCTCTAAGCTGCATGGCCATGCAGCAGGCTATCAAGGGCCGCGCAGACAGGGAGAGGTGCTCCTCCCCTGGCCCAGCCCAGCCAGAGCTGCCGCAGCCGGGGAGAGGCACCCCTCCCTCGGCCCGACACAGCCTAGCCCTGCCGTGGCTGTGGAGAGGCGCCCCTCCCCCTAGCTGCTGTGGCGAGAGAGAGCTGGAGGGAATCCTCTCTCCTCACCGCGGCCCCAGGGCTGCCTGCACCCCAAACCCCTCATCCTGAACCCCACCCCAGAGCCCCCACCCCCAGCTGGAGCCCTCACCCCCCCACACTTTAACCCTCTGCCCCAGCCCTGAGCCCTCTCCCACACCCCGAACCTGTCATCCCCAGTCCCACCTCAGAGCCTTCACCCCCAGCCAGAGCCCTCACCCCCCCACACACCCCAACTCTCTGCCCCAGCCCTGAGCCCCCTCCCTCACGCCGAACCCCTCGGCCCCACCCCCACCACATATCACCTCCATATTGGTGCACATACACAAAATTCATTCTGCACATGGATGTAAAAAAATTAGAGGGAACACTGGTACCAGCAGGTACCAAATATGGTCTCTGGATACTGATAACTGTCTAGGAGAGAAATGCAGGAGTTCTCTGGGACCAGGGTGAAGGGAGACAGCCAGAGCAGAAAGCGTTATGGGAGAGTGTGTTGGGGGTGTCTTGGTATTGTGACCAGGGTTGCAGAAAGGATAAGGTATCATACCAGGTCTCTGATGAGCAAGTGACAGGAAGCAAAGGTGAAAGTAGTACTGTGAAGCCCAGCTGAAAGTCAGAGCAGGGTGAATGTGTATCAGGAGAGGATGTCCAGGGAGACTGGAAATAAAGTATGCTGTATGACTTAAACATGGTGGTACGTTTCTAACACACATACACAGTGTGAATGAAAATGCTTTTTACTCTGTTATTCCTTCTTGCCCTTTTACTTTATAATATTTGACATCATTCAACGAAAGAGAAAAACAAAGCATTTTAAGTTTTCATTTAAAATATCCAATGGGCCCTTTCTCCACCCTTCACAAAAGATACATTTTTAGGGCCCTTTGTTTTCAGTTTTTATTTTATTTCATTTTTCCCGGGAATTTATCAGTGTTTATTACCACCACAACAAAAACAGGTGAAAATCAGTGCAAATAACTATTAATAATTTTTCTGGCTAACTATCGGGGTTTATTTTGGTGAACAGAAAGACAGGAGAAAAAAGTATTTAGTAGATTAATGCTTTGACTTTCGTTCATCAATGTGGTTTGCTGCAGAACTAAAACAGAACTCAAAACACAATGCCACCCCTGACTTTAAGAAAACAATAGATCTCTAATCCCCAAATAAAGCTTTTCATTTGAATAAACAGTTTACTGTTGTAGACTTAGAACTATTAGCTTTTAAATATTTACATTTAATAATTGGGCCCTACCATTTGCACTGCATTGTTATATGTGCATACACTCAACTTCATCCTTTTCTCCTGTTTATGTTTTTTAAAAACTTTCGAATACTTCCTTGTGTTCTGAAACGTATTCTGATACAGATTTTCATTTTCTTCCTATTTTAGTATGTCAAATCTTTAAACCATTATCTGCTAACAGCTTGAAATGTGTATGTGGTGGGCATGAGATTCATCAGTACATTCAGATGCACACGCACTTCAGTGCTTGCGTGCAGGCCTGTTTGTTTATTGTGTGTATCTTCTAGATTAATACATAGTCTGACTTCAATAGGCAGCTTTGCATATACACAGACTAATGTATTATTGTCATACATGTATCTCATGCAATGTATTGTATTTTCCTAATAAAACAAGTTATTTTTTATATATTTGAATGATACTGAAGTAGAATGAAAATCAGAAAAAACAATAATATTTTTTGTAAAACCCGGAAAATTTTTGGCAAAAAAGGTTTAAACTGAAAACAAAGGGGCTTATACATTTTATAGTGTCAATAACACTACTTTATATGCATTATTATCCTGTACCATTTTCTTGTATGGTTCAAAGTAATGCATCTGTAGTATGCAAGTCTGGCTCAATACATTTTCTGTCCTACCTTATAGCAGCTAGAGTGCAACACAAGAATCTGTGGAACCCTCTCAACAAGAAGAAAACAGATTGGGGAGGGTGTTGTTTCACTTTTTTCCACCTTGTTAAAAATAAACCTTTATTAGTCTTTCCAAACTACTGTATGTCATATTCTGGGCCCACAAACAGTAATTTAGATCTGAGGAAAGGCGGAAGAAAGATTTTCCACAGAATAAAGCTCAGGTTTGTTACTTTCTTCTCCTTCTTTGGTACTAAATAAAAATAAAGTTTTGATTCTTAGAGTAGCTCACACTCTACCTGTGCATGTTAAAGTGCTTTTTACCCAAACACCTTCTTCTGTGCAAACTGAAATATTGTTTCCACCAGCATATTCAAATCCCTTCTGACATGAATACTGCACCACACTTCCAAGACTCGAACTGGGATTCCACAATAGCTCAGCATGTTGTATTGGTGGAGGAATGCCACAATCTACTTCTGTAATGAAAAACAGGAAGTTAACGTGTTCATATTCCTTGGGAAAGAAGCCACTTTCAAATAAGTTACTCTACACTAACTTGTGACAAATTTACATTTAATTAAGGGTGATACTCTTTTCAAAAAGGAGATGTAAGGTCCAAGCGCAATTGTGTGCCTACATTTGCATATGCAGCATGACACAATGCACATGCAAATGGCTGATTTGTCATCTGCCCTCTGTCAGTGGAATTGTGCATGTATCTAGAAGGACCAGAATGGACTGACTACACCTAGTGAAAAAGGAGACGCCCAAAGGATCACACCCTGAGTCAATGTAAAGCCAGCTATCGGCAGAAGCTTCTCGCTCTGGCCTAATCCTGAGAGATGCTTAGCACCAATGACTCTGAATAATGTCAATTATTTTAACACAGTTTTTGTATTTAGCAACAGAGGGTCCTGTGGCACCTTTGAGACTAACAGAAGTACTGGGAGCATAAGCTTTCGTGGGTAAGAAC